AAATATAAACTGTAAATAATGTTGTGTGGTGCAATTATACTTATTTATTTATTTGCAAAAATGTGCCTTATTTTAGTCATCATCTTCAGAGTGATTCTAGTTAATTTTATTAAATGGCAATTATATTTATTTCATCTTTGCCACTAAAAATAACAACATTGGCTGTAAATAATGTGGTTTGATGCAATAATATTTTGCTATCAAAATCTCATGGGTTATTTTTAATTATTTTGATTAAACTGCAGAGAATTTCAGACACGAACGGCCCGGTTTCCCGAGACTGAGGATGAAGACGGACGTGTGGTCACACACACACACACACACACTAGCGCGAGGGTCACATGTTACCTGGCTATGACAAACAGCACACAACTGACACCCAAGCAAGCCAGCAGAATATACATCCAGATATCAGGGGACAGAGGGTTGAGGAAGGAGAACACGCCGGGGTTGGTGCCGTTGGGTTTGCGGTAGAGAATGCTGATTCCCAGAGTCATGAAGGGTTTGGAGAAGTCAATCACCTTCTCTCGCACGTACGTGATGGTCAGCGGAGCCACGGCCAGGTCCGCTTTCTGTCAATCACCAACACAACACACCAATGATGTCCTGCCAAACACTTCTCTAGCAGCAAACAAACAAAAGATTCAAATGAATCAACTCTGAATCAGTTGTGAGACTCCTGTGGAATCTCTTGTGCTGGAAAACCTTATTTGCTGTTCCGGGTCTAAAATGACCCACCTTTTAAATCGCGTGTAAATGTGTTGATATAGTGTATTATCACTAAATATTGGGTTTGATCTTTTAATCAACTTGTTTTCTTTCAATAGGCACAGATTTTATGTTTGTTTGTGGAACGGATTGATCGTAGGTTGAAGTTTGTCCTCTCAAAAACTGAGTTCAGATCAATCAATCCGTTCCACAAACAAACATAAAACTGTGCTTATTGAAAGAAAACTAGTTAATTAAAAGATCAAACCTAATATTTAGTGATAATATACTATATCAATACATTTACAAGGAATTTAAAGTCTCCCTGTGGTGAAAATCAAGCTTTTCATGTTGTTTATGACTGTTTATATGTGGTGTTTAATACGCTTTAAGACAAACCATGTGTAAGTTCATAAGTCGACAGCATTGCTGAGTATTTTCTGCTTAAAACTGCAGTGAACCAAAGACAGTCTCAAAAACACGGTTTGAAATCGCTGGTGTTTCTGACGTCACAAACGAGCTTGTAACCAATCAGATCAACGTGTGATCGCCAACCAGTGGATCTCTGAGCTGAGGGAGTGAGTGGAGGCGGGGCTCATTTACATATTCATAGAACCGCGCATACTAAATGAGGCACGAGTTACATTCAAGATATTTTAAGGCATGAAGACATTTTATTCAAGGAAAAACGTTTAAATATGTCATTTTGGTGATCAAAGATGATCGGGAGGATTTGAACTATTGACTAAAAGGCGGGTCATTTTTGACCCGGAACAGCACAAGTGTAAAGGGGGGGGACCCAAAAAGTATAAAGTGTAAAAAAAAAAATTAAAGTTGTTATACTCTGTATGAGTAACATTTTAGTCCAATGCAAGTGTCAGCACTACATTAAACTACTATATATAATGTTGAATATAATGTATAATAATGCATATTTGTGTGTCCTGATAATGCCACATGTCTTGTTACCAGTAAAAGTGGCCTATACATTATTTTAAATAAATTTACGCAGTGAAAGAGTGCAAGCATTCGTCTAAAATAATGATATTTTCAGCTTCAGGATCATGAATATTGTTATTCTGGTGTCTCTATTGTTCATTGGGTTTCCAGCACCAAGTCCAAGTCTATTCAGTTACACCCACAATGTAATATCAAATTTAGCGTTTTAATCAACAGGAGTTTTTTGTTCACCTTTTATCATGTGTCTTGGAGTATCGCAGTAATATGGTGTGGTGATGTGTGTCGGGATGTGTGTGTGTCGGATCGTGACATGAGGGAATCGTTACACCATAAATGCACAATAAAATATTATACAAACTATAAAAAAATAGTACAACATCCAGATGCATTTTGCAAATTAGAAATATCAGGGAAATTAGCTTAATTTTCACAAAAAGAATGTCACAAAAAAGTCTTAAAATAATATTTTTCACATTTTCAGGGAAAATTAAGACTATTTAAAATGTATAATTTAGTTTTCTATCAAAATGAAAGTTAAACGTGAACTGAAAATGTTTAAAAGCAACCAAATAAAAAATAAAATATAGAACGAAAACACAATAAATGCACAATAAAATATTACACAAACTATACAAAAATAGTATGTTTACGAACGCAGCGGATGTGTGTCGTGCACACACACACACACACACACACACACACTGTGAGATCGAGCGAACGCAGCGGATGTGTGTCGTGCACACACACACACACACACACACACACACACACACACACACACACACACACACACTGTGAGATCGAGTGAACGCACCGGATGTGTGTCGTGCGGCGGGAGAATCTGATCATTAATTGATGCTATGCTTGTCCCTCGCTCACGAACATCTCAGACTACAGCGTCTGCTAATAAGATCTCCAGAGACCATCACACACACACACACACACACGCACACACACACTCCAGACGGATTCTTCTACAAGCGTTCCTCTCTGACTCGTGCAGTTTAGAGGAGTGAGATGTTGTTTACTCGTATGACCACGGTGAAACGTCATGATAAGCACTCACTACGGCTGTTACTAACTTATTAACTATATATATATATATATACACTACTAGTCAAAAGTTTTGGATCGGTGAGATTTTTTATGTTTTTAAAAGAAGTCTCTTCTGCTCACCAAGGCTGCATTTATTTGATTAAAAATACAAAAAAAACCCAGTAATATTGTGAAATATTATTATAGTGTAAATCATCTGTTTTCTGTGTGAATATACAGTAAAGTGTAATTTATTCCTGTGATCAAAGCTGAATTTCCAGCATCATTACTCCAGTCTTCAGTGTCACATGATCCTTCAGAAATCACTCTAATATGAGGATCTGATGCTCAAGACACAGTTATGATTATTATCAGTGTTGGAAACTGTTATAAACATTATTATTTCAGGATACTTTGATGAATAGAAAGCATCAGATCCTCATATTAGAGTGATTTCTGAAGGATCATGTGACACTGAAGACTGGAGTAATGATGCTGGAAATACAGGAATAAATTACACTTAAAACATAAAAAAAAAAAAAAAAAGATATTTTACATTCTAATAATATTTCTAATAATATATATTTTTTGTATTTTTAATCAAGCAAAAAGTATTGCTTCTTTTAAAAACAATAAAAATCTTACTGATGGAAAACTTTTGACAGGTAGTGTGTGTGTGTGTGTGTGTGTGTGTGTGTGTGTGTGTGTGTAAACTGAAGTGCGAGTGTGACTCACGTGGTCGATTAGCTCGCGGATCATGCCGTTCCACTGGCCCGTGTTCTCCTCGAACGCCCCGTACTTCCCGTCCTCCACCAGCCGGATCTCGTACCGGAAGCCCAGGATCCCCGACAGCTCCCGGAGCAGATCCACACAGAAGCCCTCGAACCGGTCGTTGCCGTACAGCGGCTTATCCGACTTCTTAAACATGACGTACGGCTCCTCCTGAACACACACACACACACACACACACACACACACACACACACACACACACACACACACACACACACACACACACACACACACACACACACACACACACACACTCACACACACACACACACACACACACACACACACAGACACAGACAGACACAGACAGACACAGACAGACACACACACACACACACACACACACACACACACACACACACACACACACGACAGCATCGAGTTCATTAGTTACGTGATTAGCAGAACTGTGTTTACAGTGAGTCAAAATCAAAAGCAGGAAAATAGTTCATTGCAAAAATGTAGGTTTTTTATAATTTTTTATGTTAATTTGGGCTACAAATGTTAAATATTCCTTATATCACAAATATTTTAGTATGTTGACAACAGGTTTTTTTAGGCTGGAGTCTGTGGATGTGTTTAGAGAAAACCATGTACATTTAAAAAAAAAAAAAAAAAATAATAAGATTAAAATAAATTAATTAATGTGTGTGTGTGTGACTGAGAGAGAGAGAGAGAGAGAGAGAGTGTGTGTGTGTGTGTGTGTGTGTGTACTTTATGCATGACTATAGCCCCTTTCACACAGCACTTTGAACCCGGCAAATTGCCAGAGTGCCTTCTGTGTGAACGCAAACACGACCCGGGATCGATGCCGGCTTGGGGATCTAGTAACATTGCCGTGTTCAGACCCGGAACGCGCGCTGTGTGAACAAAGCCAGAACCAATGCCGTATAAGGGGTGTGTCGTAGTGATGATTCACGAGCCTTTGCAATGACGTAGTTATCGTGAGACTCAGTTGCTCTCTAGAAGAAAGTTTGTGTTCGTCATCGATACAAGAACGAACGAAAAAATGTCTGCAAACTGGACTGAAGTAGAGACCCGTCACATCCAACGTCACGCGTCTTTCCGGAACATACACGGGCTGTGTGTGAACGCGCTCTCTGATTCCGGCAAATCATGTGTGTGTGTGTGTGTGTGTGTGGGGGGGGGGGGGTGTGTAAGTGTGTGTGTGTGTGTGAGTGTGTGTGTGTCTGTGTGTGTTTCTGAGTGTGTGTGTGTGTGTGAGTGTGTGTGTGTCTGTGTGTGTTTCTGAGTGTGTGTGTGTGTGTGTGTGTGGGGGGGGGGGGTGTGTAAGTGTGTGTGTGTGTGTGAGTGTGTGTGTGTCTGTGTGTGTTTCTGAGTGTGTGTGTGTGTGTGTGTGTCTGTGTGTGTGTGTGTGGGGGTGTGTGTAAGTGTGTGTGTGTGTTTACCAGTATAGTGGACACGCGCAGTGATTTGTTGGCTAGCGAGTCTGTGATGTTGGTGATTTTACTCTTGTGATTCTCTGTCATGTTCAGTCCACGCGG